GAGGACCCTGGCTGGTTTTTCAGTGGGGTACGATCAGACAGCACCACTTCTTGTGTTTGCCCAGCAGAGGACCCCAGGGCGGAGGAGAAGGAGCAAGGTGAGGCTCAGCAAAATGGTGACAAAGAGGAAGAGGAGGACGGGAAGAAGGATGACAGAAACGTGAACTTCCGATTCATGTTCAACATCGCTGACGGTGGCTTTACAGGTGGGAGCAGGGGGGTCGGGAAGGCCAAAGAGAGGTGAAGGGGCTGCAGTGGGACGATGCTGGCTCCGCAGCTCGATGTCCCCCCGGGCAATGCCATTGCTCTCCCTGCCTGCAGCACGGTGCAGCCCCACTGCCTGACCCTGCTGTCCTGCTTCCGCAGAGCTGCACACGCTGTGGCAGAACGAGGAGAGAGCTGCCATCTCCTCCGGCAAGATCTACGACATCTGGCACCGCCGGCACGACTACTGGCTCTTGGCAGGAATCGTCACGTACCCTTTGACGTGGTGGGGCCGTGCCTCCTGCTGACGGGTGGCAGTGAGGGCAGGGGGGCTCTGCGGGGTTCAGGGAGGTGTTTGGTGCTGAGGTGGGCATGCTGTTCGCTGGCCAGTTCTCCCCTTGACGCTCCCTCGGCACCAGTCACGGCTATGCCCGCTGGCAGGACATCCAGAACGACCCGCGCTACGTGATCCTGAACGAGCCCTTCAAGTCAGAGATACACAAGGGGAACTACCTGGAGATGAAGAACAAGTTCCTTGCCCGGCGGTTCAAGGCGAGTTGCAGGTCCAGGGCTGGTGAGTCCTTACCAATGGGGGGGACCAGAGCGGTGCCGCAGAGCCATGGGGAGCCCATCGGTGCCGGCTGGGACCAGGCTTTGCCGGGGGCTCGTGGTTGCCAGAGCAGAGCTGAGTTTGGTCCTGGGGAGCTCATGGGCACCGGGGTGCATGGGCTGGGGATGGCTGCCATGGGCTCCTCTCTGTGAATGGGCCAGTGCTGTGCCCCGGTGATGCTGTGGAATGCTGCCCCCATCCCTGTCGGGGATGCTCAGTGTCTGAACGGGATGAGCAAACAGAAGGGCTAAGCCTGTTCCCCCAGCAGTTCTTGGGAGCAAGGCCAGTTGGAGCACATAAGGGCAGAGGCAGCCTAGAGCCCGTGGGGCAGCACTGATTTACGTCGGAGCGGGGTCTGAGCCTGAATCTTCCCCTCCTGTGCCTCCCAGTTGCTGGAGCAGGCGCTGGTGATCGAGGAGCAGCTGCGGAGGGCAGCGTACCTCAACATGACCCAAGACCCCAGTCACCCGGCCATGGCCCTCAACGCCCGTCTGGCTGAAGTGGAGTGCCTTGCCGAGAGCCACCAGCACCTCTCTAAAGAGTCCCTGGCTGGGAACAAGCCCGCCAACGCCGTCCTGCACAAGGGTGGGTGCGGGCAGAGCAGGGTGGGAAGGGAAATCCAGGCGGGAGGTTGTCCCCATCTGCTGTCTCCCAGCTGCTGGAGCTCGCTGGGACGCGGGCTGTCTGTGTCTGGTGGGTGCCCCCGTGGCCTGATCCTGGCTCGCTGTGCTCGCAGTGCTGAACCAGCTCGAGGAGCTGCTGAGCGACATGAAGGCCGACGTCACGCGCCTGCCCTCCATGCTGTCCCGCATCCCGCCCGTGGCCGCCCGCCTGCAGATGTCGGAGCGGAGCATCCTGAGCCGCCTGGCCACGCGCGGCGGGGAGCCCCCCGTGCAGCAGGTCTGTGGGGATGGGCACGGGCTGGAGCCCCTCGCTTTGGGGCCAGGCCCGCAGGTCAGCGTCCCTCCTCCCTCTTTGCCTCCACAGGGCTCCTTCGGCTCATCCCAGATCTACAACAGCAGCTTTGGGCCGAATTTCCGAGGTCCCGGGCCGGGCGGGATTGTCAACTACAGCCAGATGCCTCTGGGGCCGTATGTGACCGGTAGGTCGGGGGTTTGAGCAGATGCTCCCTGGCAGAGGGATCCAGGGGGGGATTTGAGGACCAGGAGCATTGCTGAAGGCTGCTGGGTGAGCAGGCTGGTTCCCCTTCTCTCCGCAGATATTTAGGTGTTCCCACGATTTTGCCCCCAGCTCCCGTTTCCAGCTGAGGTAAGATGTGCTCCTGCTCCGTGTTCCATTCACCAGGGTCTGTGGGATGCAGGAGAAGCTGTGGCTGCCCCATCCCTGGCAGTGTTCAAGGCCAGGTTGGACACAGGGGCTTGGAGCAAGCTGCTCCAGTGGAAGGGGTCCCTGCCCGTGACAGGGGTTGGGACTGGATGGGTTTAAGGTCCCTTGCAACCCAAATCATTCTATGATCCTATGACATGTGCAGACACATGATGGGGTAGGGGCTGTACTGGTGCCCCCTCATGCTGGTGTCTGAGTGCAGCCTCAAGTGGGTACCAGCACTGGAGGCAGGATCAGGATCCTTTTGGAAGCCCTTGGGCCGGCTGCTGCTGCCCAAGGGGGCTCCCACACTCCCCCTGCCCCTTGTTCAGCACCGGGGAGGGGGGGATCTGGACCCACCTGATGGGCACCTCTCCCTCCCCTCTCCTTGCAGCAGCCCCGGAGGAAGGGCAGGGGAAGGCGGCGTTGGCTGCGTGAGGATGAGCTGCTGCCGGGTGCTCCCGCTTCAAGTGTGCTTCAAGCGCTGTGCCCCCCCCGTGCGGCCGGGACCGGGCTTCATTTCGTGTACATTCTTTTGCACTTTCTTATGGAAGACTTGAAGAGTTTGTCTGGGCAGGGCGGGCTGAGCCAGGGGAGCCGGTGCCACCGCGTTTGGTGGCGCGTGTATGTGAGAGGGGAGGCTGGATAGCCCGTGGGACCCGCCACAGGCTGAGGCACCCATCCGAGCTGGCTCCGGCTCCCAGGATTCCCCATCAGGTCCATTTCTACGTCCTCGTGTGTTTGAGCAAGTGCATGCCTGCTGCCAGCCCCGTGGCCGGAGCCCAACCAGCCCGGTGAGAGCGTTGGTGCGTCCGTGGGGAGGCCCAGCACCAGGGTCCACGTGTGCCAGGCTTGGGGCGTGTGGATGGAGGTGCCACGGGTGGAAGGGAGGAGGTGGCTGGCGTTGGGATGGGGCCAGCCGTGAGTGGGGTGACGCCGGTGCCCGAGGCTGGCGGCAGCTGTGAGCGATGCCCCCGCGTTCCCTTCGTGCTCCGTGTGTCCTGGTTTCTGTTCTCTGTGTTTTAATAAATCCCTTGGGAAGGACGAAGCGGGAGCCTCGTGGGGGCGAGTGGTTTGAGGGGGGGGGATAACGGGGATCCCGCCGTGGGGGTGAGGGGGGTCCAGATGCGATCCCAGCCCCTGCATCATCCTGCACACACGTGTGTGCACACATGTACGTGTGCAGGGTCCATGGGCAGCCAATGGAGCTGTCCTCTCCCAGCTCTGGCTCTTCCACGTGTGTTTTCTGCATGGACACATATGGACAACATAAATGTGTGTGTGTGTGTATGTGTCGATCTACATTGATAGCACAGTTTAGATATGAACAGGTATCGATGTGTAGGTATAGCTAAAGGTGTAGATATGCAGGTACAGCTATAGGTAGAGATGTATGTATGCACACATTGTGTATTTTTATACGTGTGTGTATATAATGTGATTTTAGTACCTGTGTGTTCAGGTGTCTATGCTTATGTATATGGGTAAGTCAATGTATGAGGTGTGTATATAGGTATGGGTAGAAAGGCATGTATACATGTAGCTATGGATGTATAAACCCGTCTTTACATTGGTGTACATACACATATCTGTATCTGTGTATATATATACACATATATTTTTGTAAATTATATGTGTATATGCACATATATACACGTGTAGATATATCTGTATGGATATACAGGTGTATCGATCTGTGCATATGCACAGACACACATCTGTATTTGCAATTTTTATATATTTATACATAAGAGTAGATATAAATACAGGTAAAGGTGTATGGTGTGGCTACACATATATAGTGCAAGATGTGTGTATACAGATATATGTACCTGTAACTTCATACATATATGTATGAGCATATATATGTTTATATATGCATACAAACATCTATGTAGTTATATATACGAAGGGCTGTAGGTATAGATACAGAGCAAGCAACACATCTAAGGGGGGGATGTGCATGCGTGTGTGTGTGTCTGTGGACACAGACCCCCAAACACGTGTTTTAATGTCTGACCTGTGTGTGTGTACACATAACCCCCTGTATTTCTATACATGCACACGCACACCTTTAGGGTAAGCATATCAACACACCCAGCCCTATGAGCCCTAAATTACAAATATGATTATGTCCATGTATATGTAGTCACGTTTCTATATAGAGGTGTGGAAATAAGCAGATAGTACACATCTAGCTATTGCTATAGATGTATGTGCACATGCAGCTGTATATACACACATTTCCTTATTTATCTGTTATTTCTGTATCTGTGTGCATATATATCCATACAAATCAATATATTCACAGGGATATGTGCACATCTCTCTATATGGATATATACATACAGCTGTAGAGATCGATATGTCTGTATATACATGAAGACACGTCTGCATTTGTATGTTGGTATATGTGTTATATATGTGATTTCCACAGATGTGTGCATCTACCCTTGCATACATCTATGTCTACGTGTGAATGGGCATAGAGGCCTGTATAAAGACTGGTGTAACTATAGGGATGTAGGTAGAGATCACTGCACCTCTGAGTGCGCACACACGTGTAATCATAGCCACGTGTGCACATCCATCTGTGTGAATGCGGCTGCGGGTACCGCAGCGGTGCTGCACCTTCACGCGTGTACCTCTGCACGCACTGTGCAGACGCATGCGTGTCCCTGCATGTATACATGTGCCTGGGGACCCACATGCTCGCACGCTTCCCCACCCAGCCCTGTGCTCACCGGGGCACCCTGGCTCGCTCACCGGGTGCCTATGCCCATGGGGGAACCCATCATCCCCCCTCCGACCCCTGTCCCGGGAGGCGCCGGTGTTCCCATGGGATATACCACGTGAAGAGCTGGGGAACAGCTTCGTGTTGTCGGCCTCATCCGGACGTACAGCACCCGCTCGCACCGCCGCGACCACCGATGGCAGCGACGCATGCAACGGGTCCCCGCGGTGGCTCCGGCCCCGGTGCGCGCCCCGCCAGCGCCTGTGCCCCCGCGCCAGAGCCCCGCCGGGCGCAGCGGTGCGATGGGCTGGGGCAGCGTGGTGGGCCCGTGGCGCGAGCCACGCTCAACACTTTGCTCCCACAAAGCGTAAGCAAGCGATGGGGCGGCGAGGGCTGCGCGGCGGGCGCTTAGGAGCGGTAGTCCTTCTTGCTGTAGGGTTTGTTGCCCAGGATGCTATCGATCTCGTGGACAATGGAAGACGACAGCTTTGGAAGGACCTGCCGGGGACGATGATGGCAGTCAGGATCGTGCCGTGGGAGCAGGCGGGAGGATGCAGCCGCGCTCACCGCCTCCATCCCGTGACCTCGATGCTACGAGCCCCAGCTCTCCGGATGAGCGACCCAGTTAAGGGAGCCTGGGTTGAGCTCAGCCCAGCAAAGCCTCATCTCTTCCGCTCAGCTTCGGATGAAGCAAGCCCTGTGCTCTTTGGAGCCACGTTTGCAGCCTCTTTTTCCCCGCGCATTGCGCTGCAGGAGCGAGTGCTGCAGGCGCACGCGTTGCAGGAGCGTGCATTGCAGCACTGCAGCAGGAGCGCTGCCCCGTTGTGCCCCATGAGCAAAGCCCCCCGTGGTCCATGCCGGCGGTGAGCACCGACCTGTATTGCTCCGATGTTCTCCATCAGCTGGTCAGCGTTGGAGGCTCCCAGCAGGACGGAGCTGACGCCCTCGTTGCGCAGGCACCAGGCTGGGGCAGGAGGGAGAGCAGAGCCTGAGCGGGGCCCGGCTGGCCCCGCTGTCCCCCCGTGTCCCTGTGTCCCCCTGTCCCCTTACCGATGGCGAGCTGCGGCAGGGTGCAGCCCAGGCGCTCGGCGATTGCCTGCAGCTCCTTCAGCTTCGCCTGCTGCCGCCGGCCCTCCTCGCTCAGGATCTTGTCCTTCAGCCACTGGTATCCCTGGGGAGCGGAGCGGGGTTATGGTGGGGTTGGGGTGCACCGAGCCCTCGCACGGGTGCAGCATCCCCAGACTCCATGGGTCGTGGTCGGTTACGCTCCCATGGCTCTGCCTGTCCTGATGTGACCCCTGGCCCAGGCTCACCTTCAGTGAGGCGCGGGAATAGGGGGGGATCCCCCCATCGTACTTCCCCGACACGATGCCGCAGGCCAGCGGGGACCAGGTCATGGCTCCGACACCTAAGGACAGATCAGAGTGAGGGTGATGCTGCCACCCCCAGGCACTGCTGCACGGGGGCTGGTCGGCCCCATGGAGATGGGCTCTGCCCCCCCCAGCCTGGGTTCTGGGGAGCACCATGGGGGGTACTGCTGCGGTACCTATCTTATGGAAGAGCTCGGGCAGCTGCACCTCCACCTTCTCCCGCTGGAACATGTGGTACTCGGCCTGCTCGCAGATTGGTGGGATCAGGTTGAACTGCCGGGCCACCGAGTATGCTTCCTGCCGGAGAGCCAGGACCCTCAGCACCCCATTGAGCCCCTCAGCCCCCCCGGCCGAGCCCCGAGCAGCCATCCGCAGGAGAATTAAGGCTTGAGCGCATCTGCAAGCGCCTGATTCCCCACAGCTGCTGCCCAATTACATCAGCATCACCGGGGCTGCTCTGCCGCCGTCCCCCTGGGGCCCCTACCATGATCTCCATGGAGCTCCAGCGCGAGGTCCCCCAGTACATGGCCATCCCCTGGTTGATGACGTGGGTCATGGCTCGCACCGTCTCTGCCGGGAGGGAAGGGGAGAGCGGCAGGCAGGGGTTAGGGGGATGCTGCACACGTGAGCATCCCGCTCCCCATGCCGAGGTGGGAGCTGGGCTGTGTCCGGAGGATGCTTTTGAAGGAGCAGGACAGGGACTGAGGGAGCAGCCGCTCGGGATGTGCCAGGGACCACAGCTGACCCTGGCATGCCGCTGGTGATGCTGGGGCTCTCCCACCATGGAGGGTCCCGGCACTGGCCCCGCAGGATACCAGCACCGACTCGGTGCAGGCGCCTGAAGCATCACCCACGGCACGAGAGGGAGACCTGGACCCCATGCAGGGGGGGCTCTGGGGGCAGCCGGCCCTGAGCCATGCGGGCTGGGGCCAAGCCAAGGCGCGCTCCTGCAGCCAAAGGCGGGGAGAGCGGGCACCCGGCATGCTCAGAGCCACCCGGCGAGGAGGGACCCGCCGCGGTCCTGGCACGGCGGCAAAGGGCGCCCCGTGGCGAGGACCCTGGGGAGGCTGGGAGCTGCTCTGCTTCTGTCCTGGGGGTGGTCTGAAGGGCAGCGGGTGTTCTGGTTGTGCCGATGCTGCCTGTGCGTTTTATGCTGGGGTTTGCTGGGGGACAGGGATGGAAATCAAGAGGAACGGGGGGTCTGCCCCGGGAAGTGCCGCTGGGACGCAGGCAGCGGCCGGCGGGCAGGGAGTACCTTCTACGATGAAAGTCCTGGACTTGGAGGAACTAAATGGGTCCCCTGGTGATAAAAGAGAGATTTAGACAGAGTGGAGGCGGCCGCTGCCGGGCCGGGGGCAGCAGCCTGTGCCGCGCCACCAACCCGTCCCCATCGCTGCCCTGGCACCGGGCTGGGGTGGCAGAGGGTTCACCATAGATCAGGCTGACCGTGGCGGCGGAGGAGCGGACTCTGCTCGGGAAGGGAAAATGCCCTTGAAACAAAAGCCTGGCGCAAACCAACCGCGATGGCGACGGAAGGCAGCGGGGAGCAGCGCGGCGCCGCGGCGCGGCACCCACCTTCCATTGGCGTGTTGGGGTCGGGCCGGTTGGCGAACACCACGTCCACGTACTCCAACTGCAGCCGCTCCAGGGATGCCTTCAGCCCTGTGGCACGGATGGGACCATCAGGCACACCGCGCCCTGTGCCATAGGCTGCTGGGGCAACCAGTGCCGCACAGCCTGGCGCCGGGGCCAGCAGCGCCCGTGAGCATCCCTACCTTCTATGATGTGTTTTCGGGACAGGCCCCTCTCTGTCTCAGCCCTGGAAAAGGAAAGGTGGTGAGAGCCCGGCGCTCCCTGGCTCCGTTGCCGCGGGGCGGGTGCGTTACCTACTTTCCTCCCCAGAAGATTTTGGTGGTGATGACCAGGCTGGACCGTCTGCAGGGAGAGAGAAGAGTCACCGGCTGCTCCACCAGCTTTCCCAGCCCATTGGCACCACGGCGATGGCTTGGCCACAGAGGGATGAAGTCCACCTTACCTCCACCCTTTCTTCTTGATGATGTTCCCCAGCACCACCTCGGCCCTGCAGGGGAAGGGGATGTCAGTGCATGCGGTGGCTGCGGGGACGCTGCTTCCCCTCCGGCTGCAGCACCCGGAGCCGAGCTGCTCCCCACACGTGAGCTGCTATTTTTAAGCACGTGTGTGGGCTCCCTGCGATGCTCCGGGCCACCGCGCTCCGAGCGCAGCCGTGGCACAGGGAGTGTGCATGGCTATACCCACATGGCTCTACCCACATGGCACAGGCAGTGTGGGACCACAGGAGCCAGCATCCCTTGTGACCAAACACAGCCCCATCCTGGCAGCCGCTTTGGTGCTGGTAAACCCGGCACCGCCGCGGTTTGGAGGTGCCGGGGTGCAGGGTGAGGCTCTTAGTGCCACTACCAAAAGCGCGGTACCTACTTGCCGGCGGCGTAGACTTCTGCCGTGTCAAAGAGATTAATGCCGTTGTCATAGGCTAAAGTCATCAGCTGCTCTGCCATCTGCGGGGGAGAGCAGGAGCATCAGCTGAAGGGATGCTGAGCACCGGTGCACACCATGCCCCCTGCTTCACTTGGGAAGGGATGGGGTGCAGGGGCACAATCCTTACCTCGTCTGTGATCTGCCCTCCAAATGTCACCCATGTTCCTGTGGAGGAGAGAGACAGGGTGAATGCGGTCCGCACGGTGAGCATGGTGAGCACAGTGAATGTGGTGAGCATGGTGAGCACAGTGAACGTGGTGAGCATGGTGAGGACAGTGAATGTGGTGAGCATGGTGAGCACCGCCTGCCACAGCCTCCAGCCCCATCCATCCACCCTGGCTCCTGCGGCTCAGCCCCAGCGTGCAGTGGCTACAGTTGGCCCCGCCGCGTGCAGCGCGGCGCTCCCAGCATCGCCCAGTCACTTCCCATCATGTCAGAGGAGGAGAAGAGGAAAGAACTTGACAAGTTCTGGGCTGCCTCTCAAGACCGCCGCGGGGCCAGAGGAAAACCCTTTCCTTCCCTCCGCACAGCAGCACCGGCAGCAGGCATGGGACCTAGGGGATGCTGAGGGGCTGCGGCAATCCCTGGCACTTACCCAGGCCCAGGCAGGACACGCGCAGCCCAGACTTCCCGAGGTTCCTGGAAGGCAGAAACCCATTAGGAAAACCACCAGAAAGCCCCAAAGTGCCATCTCATGCACCCGCGTGGGGCTGGGAGGTCACGGTCCCTGGTCCCCATCCCAATTCCCACCTCAGATGGTCCCACAGTGATGGTCCCCCCACAACTGATTAATAATCCACACCGGGGGAGCATGCCATGGGACCCGGGGAGATGATCATGCCTGGGGCATCCCACATGTGTCCCGAGCCGTGCCCGTTCTCTGCAAGGAGAACAGGGCTTGTGCGGGGCTCGGATGCTCGGGTGTCCTGGCGAAGTGGAGCATCCCTGAATCCCAGCCCTGGGAAGGGGGCCTGGCCGGCAGCCGCCTGCGCCCGGCGCTGGGGAACCAGCTCCTCGCTAAGAATGACAAAGACTCCAGAAACGAGCGTTAAAATAAATAAAGTGTAGGTGAGCCGCGGCAGCTCGCCCGCGGGTGTCGCATAGCAACCGGGGAGGCACCGCCACCGCCGCCACCGCCGCCACCGGCACCGGGGTACCCAGCAGACCCGGCCCGACGGTGGCAAACCGTGGGTCAGGGCAGCTTCCATCCGCGCCGCCGCGTTATTGCTCAACATCTGGATGTGCAGCAGCTCCCCCCAGCCCTGAGTTGGTTTTAGTGTTTTGGTGGCGCAAGTCCCCGTGATGGGAATCACGGTGGGGATGGCACCAGCCCCATCCCGGCCATTCCAGCATTGCTGGAGTCCTCCTGGGCTGCTGATGGGCACTTTCCTGCTCAAGAGTGCTGAGCGGCTGCTGCTCAACAGCGATCTTGGGGGAGCCAAGCATCCTCCAGCACTGTGCCAAGACTTTCCTATCCCATCCCTTGGCATGGAGCATCCCCCCCGTGCTACTGTTCTCTGCAGCTGCCAGTCACCCCCTGCCTGCAAAAGGGTGGCCTTGGTGTGCTCCCTGGGATGGGGACAGGACCATGGAGCAGGAGAACTGAGCCTGGATGATACCAGCGCACATAGCCCCAGCGCTGCTGCCGCAGGGGTTTGGTGTTCCTGCCCGCCCCAGCACCCGTGCGAGGAGACTCTGCTGATGTGGATGATGATGGTGGTGATGCTGCCTTCCTCCCAGGCACTTTGTGCCTTGTGCCGGTCACATCTGGGCTGCAGCAGGGCAGCTGGACCGTGGCATGAAGCTGATCCGTGGCGGGGAGTTCCACTGTGCTCTGCTCCAGCACTGGGGACATGGAGCACATTAACCCAGTGGATGCTGGCCGGGGCGGCACAGCGCACACAAGCTGCCCTTCGCTTCCAGACCCGGACCCGGATCCAGGCTTTGCAGGGAGGTAAGTCTCCGGCAGTGTGGTACTGATGTCATAGCATCCACGGATTAACGCACACCAGGGCTCTCAGACCCCCCCCCTTCCCCCGGCTCGGCAGGCACTGGGATGCTCCTAATCCTACCCCAGTTTCAGGGCTGCCCCCTCCATGCCACTGGCTCAGAGCCGGAGAGGGGACAGGAGGGAACAGCGAGGGAAGCGAGAGGCGCACGGTCAGCACTTTTAGCACCGAGAGAACACAACCCGGGGATTAGGGGAGCGCGGCACAACCCGGTCTCCCCCCCCCCACATCCCCCCCCAAGCACCGCGCATCCCCCTAAACAACAGCAGAAGCAGCCGAGCAGGCGGCAAACCCACCGCGCCCGCGTCCTACCGGTACTTCATCCCCGGCTGCTTGACGCTGGACTCGCTGGAGGAGGGAGCGTTCTGCACCGAGAGCTGCCCCAGGCTGCGGGCCACCATGGCCACGGCCCGGAACTTGCCGCGGGTGCCGAGGCTGGGGCTGCCGGCATTCTGCCTGTTCAAGCGGTCCTCGGCGCTCCGGCTCTTGATGCTGTGCTCGGAGCACACAAAGGAGACCTGCATGCTGCTCCGGCCGGCAGCCGCCACAGATGCCTAAATTTAGCCGGCGCCCCGGGTGAGGCGGGAGCTCCTCCCGCCCGCCGACGCTCCGCCAACGTGACGGCGGGGGGCTGCGGGCACCGAGCGGCTCCGGCGGCCCTCCTGCCCTCAATACCGGGGGAGCGCCGCGGGGGTACCCCCCCGTTGCCACCCCCCCTGCGCCACATCGGGCACCCCCTGCGGGCGTGGTGTGGGGCGCAGCGCGGGGCTGAGGTTTGGGGTGAAGGGGGGGGGGTCCCTCCGGCCACAGCGACGCTCCTGCGAGACCGAAGCACAACCTGCCGTCAGGAGCGCTTGCACGGCGCCGAACGCACCGGAGATGATGCCGGCGGCTCTGCTGGGGTTACAGCCCATGGGTCTGCCGAAGATGGACCGGTTGCTCCCCCCACACACGCACACGCCGGGGGTGCAGCCACAGCAGCGCATCCCCCAGATTTCATCCAGCATCAGCGGAGAGGATTGAGGCAAAACCCAGCCCAGCAGCTCCCGCTGAAGGAGCGACGTGTGTTCAGCCCTGACCTAACGAGGAATCTTGTAATCTCCTCCGCTTCCCTCTGCCGCAAAGCTCCTTAGCTGGGTAATCCCACCAGTGCCAGCGCCGGCACCGCTGCGGGGGGACCTGGCACCAATCAGCAGCTCCCCACAGCAGGAGCAACCACAGAGATTTTAGGGGCACCAGCCCGAAGGAGCACCTTTGGGGGTGCTGTGCCAGCCTCTCCCCATCAATAAATAACGAGCCCATGAATATTAGATGGGCTCTTGCCACTGTGTAAATGTTACCTCTGTCATTGTGAGCAGAGGGGAACCTGACCCGTGGCACGGCAGAGCCACAGGGCCCCTGCATTGTCACTGGGGAATCAGCTTCTGTCCCCAGCCCAAACCTAATGGGGGCACCCATCCCTGCACCCCATCTACGATAGGGAGAGTGGATAAGGTGTGCTGGGTATAACAGCCACGTGCTCTCATTGGAGCCACGTGCCCGGCTGCCCGGTGCATCCTCCCTGCACCAGCGGTGATGAGAAGGACCAAAGTCACCTGAAACCCTGATACACCTCGTGCTGCGCCCGGATCCCGCATGCAAACGAACGGCGCGCCAGCTCCGCAAGGGACTGCTCCTTGTGCTCCTCAGGCTGGTGGAGCATTTCTGGAGCTGTTTGCTCCACCTGCCTGCTCTTCACAGGCGCGGGGGGCTTTTGCGCTTGCAAACTTCCCAGCAGCAAAAGGGGATGTCAAGTGAGAAGCTGAAAGCTTATCGAGCACGCAAGAGGTGGCGGCGCTGACCTGCCTCCCCCTCACACACCATGAAGATCAGCCACGACGCCATCGCCCGTCCCAGTCTCAGCACGGCACTGGGAAACTGATGGAAGCCGGACGCAAGCCCAGCACTAAACTCCATCCCATGCCCCGGCGCTGCCCTACCTGTACTTCATGCCGGTGGCGCGCGCGGTGCTGTCGGCCAGGGACAGCCCATGCATCCGCAGGAACTCCTCCAGCGTCTTGGCCCGTGCCGCTGCCCGCACGTCCCGCAGCCGCCGCAGCTCCAGCCCATCGGCCGGCCGGGGCGCTGGGGGCAGCCCCCACTCCGGGGGGTGCCGGCTGGCCACGCTGCGCAGGCTCTCGCTGTACGTCATGGACAGCATCCCGCTGCCGTGGCGCGGGCTCCGTGTGCCGGGCACGCTGCCGACCGCTCGGTGATGCTATGGAGAGAGCTGGGAGAGCGCCGGGGTCCAGTGATGCTTGGGGCAAAGCCTTGCCCGCGCCATGATGCCGGAGCTGCGGCACAGGGACCCTTACAAAGCCAGGCGCTTCAGCAGAGTAAAGCCTTGGTAGGAAGCCGAAGCGCAAAGGGAGAGCATGGCAGCATGGCAAGGAATGATGCGGTGATGGGCAGCTGGGGCTGCAGTGGGTGCCCACCATGGCTGTGCCAGCCTGGTGAGCTGCTGCAGCCTGCTATGTGCCCTGGTTGCGCAGCCTCCCAGTCACACCAGTTGGGTTACAATTGGGAGCTGGTAGAGGTGGGGTGAGAATCTGGTGAGAATCTGGCACTGAATCCCGGCAGGCGGGAGAGGTCATGATGGGAAAGGGGCTCCTATGGAAGGAGGGCACCCGCAGAGGGGCTGTGGCTCGCCAATGGCTGCCATGCCTGCGGCACAATGCCGCAACTTGTGCCACCATCCAGCACCTTCCCCACAGCCGCGGCAGCGACCTCCCAGCCGGTGCGGGCTGCCGAAAATAGGCTGCCGCAGAGTGGGCTCCTCGCACCCGAGGTGCTCGCCGCCGCTCTGGCTGGGATCTCACCAGCATCGATTTCCCTCGCACTCAGTGTCTGAGAGGAGTGGGGACGGGAGCCAAAGCTGCGGCGCTGGCGCTGAAGCAGCGGCTGGGAGCGGGGAGCGCTTGGAGCCGGAGCTGCGCCGGCATCAGGCCCCAGCCGGGCTCCCACCGGCGGTGTTTTGTTTCCCTGTGAAGCTCAGGTTCACAGCAGCAGGAGCTGAAAGCAAAGCGCTCTCTGCCATTGAGGTGTGACCGTGAGAGAAGAAACCCAAGAGGACAAAAGGCAAGGGGAGACCAAACCCCTGGGCAGCTCCTGCAACACCAACGCGGCTGCTCCACAGCCAGGGCTTGGAATGTGGGGAAGAGAGGGGAAAAGGACTCGTCTCCTGCAGCAAAGCCAAGCAGAACCCTGACCACCTCTTCCTGCTGTGCCACAAAGCTGAGCCCAGAGCTGGCACTGCCGGCACCAGCCCTTCTCTGCGACTGCTGGTCTGAACTGGGGCAGCACCGGTGGCTCCTGCTGAGCATGGGTGCAGCATCCGGCTCCAGTGGGATCCCTTTCCTTGACAGCGGGCAGGAAAGGGCTGCGCCGGCTGCACGGCTGCTCTAGAGCTTCAATGAAATGGCTGCAGTGAGCAGAGCCGGGTTTGGTCTGGGCTGCTTTGAGGAATGGGGCAGGATCTGCCTCATTTCGACACCCCTCTGGTTTTCGTCTGAGCCGTTGTGGGGTGATGGAGAGAGCGCAGAGGGAGCAGGTTCATCCATGTTCATTAGGAGAAATCCTGGCACTGCCTGAGGGACAAGAAGCAGGAGCTGCCACAGCCCAAGCAGGAAAGGAGCAGGGATGGGAACAGGACACAAGCTCTGCGCCATAACAGGGAACCATTAGCGCGCACCCGGGGCACAACAAGTGGATGCACAGAGAAGCTGCTCGGAGAGGCTATAACCAAGCTGGGAATCTATCGGCACCCAACAGCCTGCCTAAAACCAAAGAGACCCCAAGCCCCCAAACCTCCCCAAGCCAACACATCGCCCGTGCAGAGCACCCTCCCTGCTGCCCGCACAGGCAGTGCCCATCCCCGTGCCACCAGCCCTGACTCACCCACACACCAGGGCTGCTGCTCACCAACAGCACCGCTGTGGGCAGCCCCGGGCAGCTTTAAGAGCCGGGTGGTTTTGCATTAGGGGAGTGTCAGTGCTCAGAGTCCAAAGCAATTGGCGGCTACACCGGTCCCCCCTGAGCCCAGCTTTCTCGCCGCGCTCCATTAGCCCTATTAGGGGATTTTCTTCCCTTCGAAGGGGACCTAAATTATTCATGGCCTCTTCGCTAAAAGCCGGAGCCGTGCCGCTGCTCTCTCGACACTGGCATCGCCGCCTCCACCCGCAGCCGACCCTCGCCCCATGGTGACAGGTCCGGCACCACCGGCACCTGGGGTGGCGGGGATGGACGGGTCATTGCGCGGCGGAGCCCGTCCCTCCTTGGTCCCCACAGCGCAGTGGTTCAGTGCTGGTTCACAGCAGCCACAACACACCAGTGGCTTGGCAGTGCTGGGACAGGCGCCCTCGCGGTGCCGCCAAGGCACCCGGGTGCGGGCCAGCCTCTCCTGTTGCCACATGAGGAGATGGAGCAGGGAGGCTGCAGCAACCCTGGGGGGCAGCCCCTCATCCCCCGCTCTGTTATAGCTAGGCTGGGTCCAGCATTGGGCTGGTTCTGGGGCTGCTGCAGCCCCAGCAACACTGAGGCTGCTGCTGGCACAGCGCGCAGGGAGAAGTTTCGCCTTCGTTTCAGACGGTAAAAGGGTGGAGAGGGCAGGAAAGTGTTGCTGGGTACTGCTTAATGATGCTCCTCTTAATGGAAGGAGCAGCGGACCAGCTGGCCAGGTTCCTGGAGCTGCCCTTGGGAAAAGCCAGCAGGCTCTTCCAGGAGCAGCATTGGTGCAGGATGCTCCAGAGCTGATCTGAGCCCCACATCCCTATGGCAGCTGACCCCCGGTAGCCCTCCAGCCGTGCTCCATGGCCTGGGGAGCTGGTGAGGGCAGCTCCAACCCACCCAGACACACACGAGAGTCCCCAGTCGCAGTGCCAAACCCAGGAGCGGGCAAAGACGCGGTGATGCCCACTGTGTGCTGGTGATGCTGGTGATACCCACCCTGTGCCAGCAGTGCCCTGGGCACAGGCAGGGTTTTGGTCGTGTCTGCTTACCGGGGGGGCATGTTAGGGAGGGAAAGGGGCCGGGTTACCTGTAGAACTGGAGCTGGCGCTTGGGGCTCCCGTACCTCGCGCTTCCGACAGCAAAGGGGAGAAAGAAGAAAGATGCCACAAACCCCGTTAGAGAGGTGGAGCGGGACCGAGCGGCCACGGGAAGGGTTGGTGGCACCCACCCATGCTGCATCCGTGCAGTGGGCACTGGCACGCTCCCCGAAAGCACCCGCTCGTCCCATGGCACCCAGACCCGCCGCTGCTGCCATGCGGGGCTTTGCAGTCCAGGAGGTTTTGGCACAAGGTGGTTTTGGGGTGCCGTGGCCCCGGGTGTGGGTCCCCAGCGCCGCCCCATATCCTTACCTGTAAATCATGCCTGGGGAGCCCGTCTGCCGCAGCGAGAGTCGCGCCGGGGAGTCAGTGGTGGATTCGGGATACATGGAGCCAGCCTGGGCTCCCCGGAGCCGCTCGCTGCCTCACCCCTGCCACAGGGGAAAGAGAAAATGAGGAAGAAATGGGGGTTTTTGGGGCACGCGCATGACGGCGCTTCCTGTTGCAGAAGCTCGGGGCCGGATGGGCACCCGGTGCGGGTAGCGGCAGGCAGGGTAGGGCAGCCCTGCTTGCTCTAGACGCCCACTGATCCCAAACCCATCCTAGGTAGGAGCCCTGAGGGACAGGGGGCTTAGTTCAGGGGGAGCTTAGTGCAGGGACCCTGACCCTTCCTATCCCCATTGCCATGCCCAGGATAATCCCGCATGACTCCCTCGGGAGCTGTGTTCCTGCTCCCATTCTCCATCCTTCAACACCATCTGCAGTTTCCCGTATCCCAGGAATCCACAACGGTTCCCTGCAGAAATGGGGCAAAATGTTCAATTTAAGACACCTTCCTTCAGGCTCAGCTTTACACCTCAGGTCACCAGCAGCTTTCTGGGGAGACTGAGAGACCTCCAGCTCCTTCCCCGGCTGGACAGAGCGGGAGCATGGCACAGCACAGCGTGCTCATGTCCTGGCACGCATCCTGCCTGCATCCTGGCACAGCATGCCTGCATCCTGTATCTCTCCCACATCCTGCATCCTGGCACAGAGTGCCAGCATCCTGCATCCTTCCCGCATCCCAGCCGGGCATGCCTGTATCCTGCATCCCTCCCGCATCCCAGCACTGCGTGCCTGCATATGACATCCTGCCCGCATCCCAGCAGGGCATGCCCGAATCCCGCATCCCTCCCGCATCCCGCATCCCTGCCCGGCGTGCCTGCAGCCCGGCGCAGCCCCTGCAGCCCACGCGGCCCAATGGCAGCGGCTGCGGCAGCCGAGCCCGTCCCCGCGGAGCCACCCGCCCGCCCACCGCAGCCCCGGCCCCGGCCCCGGCTCCCTCCTCCCTTTGGCCGCAGGCACGGGATGGGGACCGGGCAGGCTCGGGGGAGCCGGGGCTCTCTCTGCTCCCCTGCGCTGCCCGCTGCGACCCTGCCGAGCCCCCAGAGCCACTGCAACCTCCCGGCTCCTCCTGGCTGCTGCAAGTGTCACCTTCACGGGTGCCCGTGTGCCTGCCTCCAACAGCGCCGCTGCCAGCCCTGGCACTGCCTGCGCGCTCCTGCGAGCCCCGCAGGTCCATGCAGGGTCACTTTGTCAGTGGCAGTGCAGTGAAGCCGGAGGGGGCTGGGGGACCCCCCATGCCCCAGGCACAGGGTGCAGCCCAGCTGCTTCCTTCCTTGCCCTGCCGCAAACTGACTGCAACTTCTTGTGCGGCTCGGGACGGGCTCAGGGAGTGCATATGGGGGATGCGAGTGGGATGAGCTTGGCCATGGGCTCTGCTCTGCCACGGGCTCAGCTTTGCCGTGAGCTCAGCTCGGCCATGGGCCTGGCACTGCCATGGGTTTGGCTCTACCACGGGCTCTGCTCTGCCATGGGCTCAGCTTTGCTATGGGCTCAGCTTTGCCATGGGCTCAGCACTGCCATGGGCTCAGCTCTCCCCAGTTTTCAGCAGGATCAGTGCTTCACATCCGTTAACTCGGGGTAATGCTGGGGGGCCCGAGTGCTCTGGCTGGCAAGTCTGGGGTGCACTGGAGGAACTTTGCCAGGAAGCACCACGGGACTATCGGCACACCAGGCAGGGCTCAGCACCCTGAGGAGCCAGAGCACCCCTTTGTGCCAGCAGTTTGGTGCTTCCTCAAGCACCACTTCTTCACCTTCAGCTTCCTCACAGCAAAACTCAGCTGCGAGTCCACAGTCACAGGAGTTTCCGTGGGGTGATGGAGAGGGAAGAAAAGTGTTTTCCTCTGTGGGACACAGGTGAAGGGTACCCCAAGAGCCTGTGCTCCCCCCTGGGCTCCATCCCTATCCCCAGCAGCACGATGGGGTGCAAGTGTCGGTGCTGAGACACAGGGGGGATTTCTGCCTGGGTAGCATCCCAAACATGCTGCTGTCAGAGGGAGAGGAGGTCAAACTGCCCATGGAATTAAGCTGAACACAAGGATGAAGCTCTGATGAGCCCCTGTGGGTGAGGCACCAGGGAGCAGCGGGACCCCTGCCCTGGGTACCCCGGTGTCCTTCCCCGCTGCTCAGGTGAGGACGGCGCCGAGCATCACCCCGCTCTGGGTACCCATCCCTGTATTTCTATCCCTATTTCACCGGGTTTCCAACCAGTAGCCTCAGCACATCCCCCCCCCCAAGCCGCGGGAAAGGTGCCTTTGGCACAGTTACCGTGCCCTGCACTGCTTGGTGCCATGAACCCCCCCGGTGTTCCCAGCCCCCTGCCCGCAGCACCGGCGCCGCAGGATCCGCAGCGCAGCAGCCCTGCCCCTTCCCTCTGCCCGGGGAAGCCTCTGCTGCAGAGCAGCCTTTTCCCTCCCCTCCTCATGCCTGGCTCTGCCCGTGCCCGGTGGGCTCAGGTGTGTTTAGAACCGGGCATCAGGACAAGGCTCAGCGCCGGGGATTGAGCTGCGACACGTGAGGTCGCCCGCGATGGTGCTGTGTGTGCCGGAGCGCAGGCTCCGGGGTGGATGACACAGCCCAAAAGCACTCACGACACGGCGGGCGGGTTCGTCCTGCATGGCCGTCACGTACCAGCAGCACCAACGTGACGGGGTCCAGCAGGGTCCCCGACGTGCGGCACCCGCCAGCGCCTGCCCCTTCCCCAGCGCGCCGGTGGGCAGGAGCCCGCTGTGTCCATGGCTGCCGGCCAGGCGCGGCCGAGCCCCCGCCGCGGCACCGCACGTACCTGGCTCCGGTGCTCGGATGGAGATGCGCGGTCAGGAGGCAAAACCAACAATGGGATAAAAGCGGAGCCGGCGGCTCTGCGGGTTTGGGAAGCGGGGCCGGTGCAGAGCAGCTGCGGCAGCCGGGGGCAAGCACGGCGGATGGCGGTTCCTACCCCATTCCCGCGCTGTCCCTGGGAAGAGGCATCCGGTGCAGGAGGGGAAAGCCGAGCCCTCCGCACCTCGGGATGCGGCAGCACCCAGGGATGCTGCAGAGCCGTTCCTGCTGCTCTCACATCCTGACTCGGCAAGTTTGGCTGCCGGTGGCGTGCAGCCCGGCTCCCGGATCCTACCGGTGCCTTAACCGTGTCGGCGCCGCAGCCCGGCACCGGCAGCACCACGCGTGGGCAGTGAGTGGCTGCCACCCGCTGCTGGCTGACCCTGCGCAGTGCTGGTGAGAGGCTCGTCTCCCATAGGGAGCCTGAGGCAGGATGTTTCCATGCTATATATACATTACTGGGTGTTTGTCTTATGAACTCAAACAGGGATGCCCATGGGCAATGCTGCCTCCCAGCCCGGGCACTACATGCTGCTGGCCACCCTCTGCTTGTGCCAATCACAGCTTCTCTGTGGCTTTTGCTTTCTAGCCACCTTGGGCAAAAAAACCGCCCTGGAGCGCCTGGTTTGGAGGCACTCTGGTGATGGGAGCACACCGGTCCCAGGCAGTAGCATGGCACTGGGATCCCGCAGTGTGGTGGTGGCACAAAAAACAGAGGCCAAGGCAGTAAAAAGGGGTCAGCTTTGGGAAGGCGCAGCAGTGCTTTATCATTTAGGAATTAGGAAAACCCAGTCCCTTGCCATGAGCTGAGTCCTGCTCAGCTTCACAGCAGCACCCTGCCAGTGATAGGGCCAGCAGGCATGCTGCCTGCTCTGAACCACGCTGGCAACGACTGGGACCCGCTTGGCACTGCCCATGTGGGTGACCCCAGTAGGTTTCCCGCTTTCCATGCTGCAGCAGCTCAATGGTGGCAGGAGGCCATAACCCTGTCCCAATGGGAGAGCGCTCTCTGGCATCAGCATTGCATCCCAGTGATGGTGGAAGCCGGCACCAAGTCATTCCGCTCTCACTCCAAGATGAGAGCACCAAGAGTGGGGAAGCAACGTCCAGCCCCTCTGCCCTCCTCATTACAATTAATAATTACAACTAATAAGAGAAGAGGCTCAATCACATCTTCCATTAGCAGCTACAAGCAGAGGCATCTCTCATCAGCCAGCCCGAAAATCACTGCATATATGCAACATGCCTATCTACAGGCACGGATCTGGCACTCACAACATTCCCAGTGATGATTTGGAAGGAACCTGTGGTTTCTGGAAGGCTTGCTGGGTGCCCTGCCGCTGCAAAGCCTATTGTGATGGGGTCTGAATTCCCAGTGATGCAGAGCATAGCTCTGCTCTTCTGCCAGGAGATTCTCACTGGGATGAAGGCCCAGCGCTTCCAGGATGCCCGTGTTACCTACGACAACCTGGTGTCCGGTTAATTGGGTATGGGGCTGACAGGACTCCCCACCACATGGGAACCACCCCTAATTACAGGCTGGAGGGGGGATCATGAGCCAAAGCCCCTGAGTATTGGGGCTGCTTGATGGGTGCCGTGGCAGCGGGTGGGCCGTGGAGGGCAAGGAATGCGGGCGCTGCGGGGGATCTGTGGGTCAATGGGGGCGGCAGTGGGGTCTCCCCTTTCCAACGACCGCTGGAGAGAAGCCAATAACTCCTGCAGCAAACGCGACCGCTCGGTCCCCGCCAGAAGCGAACCGCTCCCGACCACGTCCCGGGGCCGCGATGCCGCGGGCTCCCCCGTTCGCGCTCTCCCGCCGCCGCGTCGCGTTGCCGGGGCTCCCGCCCGCCTCCCCCGGCTCAGCGCAGGCCGCGGCCACGCCCGGTTCCGGCATCCCCGCCCCCGCCGCCGGCCTCGCCCCCGGCCCCATCCCCGCCGTCCCCCCGCTCCCGTCCCGTCCCGTCCCGTCCCGTCCCGCCCGGGCCCGGCCCCACCTGCCCGCTCCGCCGCTCCCACCGCTCCGCCGCGGCGCCCTCGTGGGGGGCACGCCCCGCCCCGCCCCGCCCTTCCCGACGCTGATTGGTTGCGCCGGACGCCTCTCGCGCCGCATGCAAATGACGGATGCTCAGGGCTGCTCCCATTGGCTGCGGCGCCGGCCGGGCCCACCGGCGAGGCCACGCCCCCCGCGGTGCGGCACCATCGCCCTAGTAACCCGATGCTGAGTCGGGCGAGACCACCCTCGCGATGGGGGGGGGACACGGCCTGCGCTGCCGCCGCCGTTTCGCCGCCGCCGCCGAGCTCCGCGCCGCTCCGCCATCACACCGCTGGTGCTCCTCTTCGGTGCACACCGGAGGAAGGGCGCGGGAGCAGGGGTGGCGGGGTAGTGAGCGGCGGTGAGCCCTCTGGTTCCCCCCCCGGGCCGGCGCGGGGTTGGTCGGGCCCGAGAAGATGGCGTCAGGGCGCGGTGAGTGCGCTGGGCCCGATCCCGCGGGTGGTGCGGAGCGGAGCGGAGCGGGCAGGGCCGGACCCCACCGGACCGGACCCCACCACACCGGAGTGCCCGCTCCGCTCCACCCCGCTCCGTCCTTATTCGCGGTGGGCCCCGGGCCGGTCGCGGTGCCCCGGTTGGCGCGGGTGTGAAGGTGTGCCCGGCCCTGCACGTGCCCACGCGGGGCCTCGTTGGGCTGCGGTGCTCCCGCGTTCCCGCAGCTCCCGGTTCCTTCCCTCCTCCCTTACCCAGGCTCGGCCCCGGGGATGCCGGCGGGGACAGGGCCCCCGCGGTGCAGCCACTGGGAGCGGGTGTTCCGGCAGAGCCTCGCGGTGCCGCCGCACGGCCGGCGCAGGAGGGTGCCCCCGGCGCGCCCCGTGCCCTTCTGCTGCGTCCTGAGGCACCTCGAAGGGGCCGCCCTCAGCCAGGTACGTGTGAGCCGTCATTAATCGGCCTTAATTATAGCATAGGTGAGTGCCCTGCGCAGAGGAGCTGCGGCTGCCCCATCCCTGGCAGTGCTCAAGGCCAGGTTGGACACAGGGGCTCGGAGCAAGCTGCTCCAGTGGCAGGGGTTGGAGCTGGATGAGCTTTAAGGTCCCTTCAACCCAAACCAGTCTTGTTTTTAAGCTAAAACCTCTGTATGACACTTTAAAAGTGAATTATTTGTTCCCCCTCCCTGCTGTTAACAAAGCATGTTCTGCAGATTGGGCATGCTGAGATGGGTGTTCTGCAGTGGGGCTGATCCTGTCGTGCCTTGCAGGGAGCTGAGTACCAGCTGCGCCTTTCCCTCTTCGATGCCACCTACCACCACTTCTTCGGCAGGACCTGGAGGAGCAGCCTTCGAGTTGCCCGTGCTGCCCCATCGTGCCTGGCCAAGGCGGTGTTCAATGAGGTGAGTGCAGGGGAAGCTCCAGCAGACCTGGGAATGGGCAGCAATCCATCAGGGAATGGATGGAGCTGCAGGAGCAGGGTCCATGGAGGGAGGTTTTTAATGCATGAAGGGAAAAGTTGCTTTTGCTGGAGTTGAGGCCAGAGCTGCTCTGCTTTGATGCTGGTTTCCCTCTTCAGTGTGGAGCTCTGGGGTCCCACTATCAGCATGCTGTAGCCAGGAGTCTTTCAAACACAGCGTGAAGCATGCACAGGCTCTGCCCCTTGTCTGCTGCTGATTCTTTGCAGTGATTTGTTCTGCATGCAGGCAATGGAACCAACCCATTTTCCTTCCTGGCACTACCCAATCCTTTGCCCAGGTTGCACCCAGACACTGCCCAATTATTAAGTTTTAATGGAACTCTTTATTAAGCTTTATGTGATGGAAAGCTTTATTAAGCGTTGTTTAATGGAAAGCTTTATTAAGCGTTTGCTGGAACGGGGAAGCTGAGGTCTTGGGCTGCTTCCAGGGCAGCCCGGGAGCCGCGGTGTGCGGCCCCGTGCTGCCTGCTGCGCTCAGGGCTGGCAGCAGAGAGCAGTGTTTGCTCACGAGTGGGAAGGAAGGGAAGGCGCAGCCACCCTCTGGCACAGCGCTTCCCTCTCCTTACCTAGGAACCAAACTCATCCAGTGATGCCGCTGACAGCGGCAAACGGGGGTGCCCCTTATCGGGGAGACCCCACCTCCCCAGTGCTGCAGGTGAGGTGCAGCATGGGTTAGTGCTGTGTTCCTTCGTTTATTTATGCCAGTAGCAGTATCTGAGAGGCATTGACGTGTGCATTTCTTCCCCAAGTGCTTTAGTTCTCCTCTGACCCCTGCTTTTTTGAAGAGGGATGGAGAAAAACCAGGGCAGGTCAGGGTGACCCTGGTGGGGTTTAGAGGAGAGGACCGTGCTGTCACAAGCCACTGTTGATGCTGACAGGGGGGACAGCGAGCTTGGTTTTACAGCGGAGCTGCTGCAAGGGCTCCCTGGCTCTGCAACCAGAGGTCATTATTGCGGTGTTTTGCAATAAAAGATAATAGAATAGCGATTTATTTCCCTGGGTTGATGGGGTAATGTCTCTCTCCGTTATCCTTTCCTGACAGCCGGTGATTACGGTAAAACGTTTTCCCTGGGACACTGCGGTAATGAGTCTTTAATAGAAAGAAGAACCTAGCCTTAAATCTTGTCCTGAGGAGGTGACCTGTGTCCTGTCCCCTCCTGCCTGCAGGTCCAGGCCACCCCTGTCTCTGCTCCCCACACTGGGTTGGGGTATTCTGACTCCTTTGGCTGCCCTGGTGTGGGGCTTGCCCTGCTTTTCCTGGCTCTGCAGCCTGTGAGTTACTCTGGAAAATGGGTGTTAGCAACAAAAAAAAGGAGGGAAAACAAAAGTTGATGATGTTTGGGGTTTAAGGGGGTTGAGATCTGGGGTCATTTGCCATGAGCTTCTCTCTAGAAGTTTTAGTGGATGTTCTGGTTATGCTGTTGGCTGTCCCAATGCCACAGGCATTGCTCTGCAGCAGGCTCCACCAGCTCTGCAGTACCCTTTCTCTCTCCTTTCCCACCCCAGACCATTTACTTCCACACCTCCTTGAACCACCCTGGCATTGCTGCTGTTGTGGAAGTGGTGGCAACAACCAAGAAAGAGGATGGGAGCTCTCAGCATCTCTCCTGTGGCTTTGGAGTCATCCCTCTGTTCGGCAGCGGGCCGGAGGTGAAGGACCTGGCCACCAAGGACAAAGTGTAGGTGTCATTGCCTTGCTGCTGCGTGATGGGGGATGCTGGGCATCGGGGTGGCAACGTGCATGGCTGCTTTGAGGGGAGGAAGGGTGGTCCTGGGGCTACAGAAACAAAGCCAGCATTTAGAAACCTGGAGTTCTTCACTGATGGAGAAGCAGCAATGGGTTTGTCACTGATGCCCTATCCTTAAAGGACAGGGTTTCAGCACGGGTGCAGAGTAGGCAGGTGGCC